TGTGTGTGTGTGTGTGTGTGTGTGTGTGTGTATGTGTGTGGAACGGGGGTTGTGATGTGGGGAGGTTGAATATAAAATTTTGTCCTGTCTACCATTGTTAATACCACTCATACATTGTCAATAATTCATTGAAATGCATTCCATTTTAATTTTCAAAATCAATGATAGCGTCGTACAGTCATATAGCATGGAAGCAGACCCTTAGGTCCAACTTGTCCATACCAACCAGGTTTCCTAAACTGGAAGTAGTCCCATTTACCAGTCATAGACTCACAGAGTAATACAGCATGGAAACAGGCCCATCGACCCAAACTGGTCCATGCTGACCATGGTGCCCACTCAGCTAGTTCCAATTACCTGTATTTGACTCAGATCCCTTCCCATCCATGTTCCTGTCCAAATGTTTTATAAATGTTGCTGTTGTACCTCCCTCAACCACTTTCCCTGGCAGCCCATTCCATACATGCACCACTCTCTGCATGAAGAAGTTGCCCCTCAGGTCTTCCTTAAATCTATCCCCTCTCACCTTAAAACAATGTCCTCTAGTTTTCAATTCCCCACCCTTGGGAAAAGGACTAAATGCATTCAACCTATCCCTCATGATTTTATACACCTCAATAAGGTCACCACTGATTCTCCTATGTTTCAGAGAATAAAGTCCTATCCTGTCCAACCTCTCCCTATAACTCAGGCCTACTAGTCCTGGCAACATCCTTGTAAATCTTCTTTGCACACTTTCCAGTTTAACTATGTCTTTCCTATAACAGGGTGGCCAAAACTATACACAATACTCCAAGTGCAGCTTCACCAACGAGTTATATAACTGTAACATAACATCCCAACTCATATACTCAATGCCTCGACCAATGAAGGCCAGCATGCTAAATGCCTTCTTCACCACCTTGACTACCTGTGATGCCACTTTCAATGAACTATGTAATTGTACTCCTAGGTCCCTCTGTTCCACAACACTCCTCAAGACCTTATCATTTACTGCATAAGTCCTACCTTGGTTTGACTTTCCAAAGTGCAACACCTCACACTTATCTGTATTGAATTGCATTTGCCAATCCTCAGCCCACTTCCCCATCTGATCAAGATCCCTCTGTAATTTTTGATAACCTTCCTCACTATCATCTGCAGACTTACTAATCATACCTTGTACATTCACCTCCAGATCATTTATGTAAATAACAAATAACAAAGGTCCCAGTACCAACTCCTGTGGCACAACCACCAATCACAAGCCTCCAGTCTGAGAAACAACCTTCAACCATCACCTTCTTCTTCCTACCATCAAGCCAATTTTGAATCCAATTAGTTAGCTCTCCCTGGATCCTATGTGACCTAACCTTCATGACTAGCCTGCTGTGCAGGACCTTGTCAAAGGCCTTACTAAAGTCTGTATAGACAACATCCACCGTCCTACCCTTATCTATCCTCTTAGTTACCTCTTCCAAAAACTCTAAAACATTTGCCAGACATGATTTCCCACACACAAATCCATGTCCCTAATCAGACCTGTGTTTTGCCCACATTCCTCTAAACCATTTCTATTTATGTATCTGTCCAAATGCCTTTTAAATGCTGTATTTGTACTCACCTCTACCATTTCCTCTGGCAGTTTGTTCCATGTATTCACTATGCTCTGTGTGAAAAAGTTGCCTTTCAGGATCCTTTTAAATCTTTCCCATCTCACCTTAAACCTAAACAGTCTATTGTTGGTCTTCCCTACTTTGGGGAAAAGACCTTGCCCATTCACCTTACCTATGCCTCTCATGATTTTATAAACCTTGATAAGGTCACCCCTCAGGCTCCTAAAGCTACCATTGCCTTATTTATGTTGGTGAAGAAACTTGGGATATTTATTTCAGAGATGTTGCATAAAAATGCATTGATAAATAATTTAATAAATGATTATATTGGTAATAAGAAAGAACTTGCATTTATGTAGCTCCTTTCACAAGTTTAAGGTGTGACAAAGTACTCTACAGTCAAATGAACTACTTCTTGAAGTGATCACTGTTGCAATGCAGGAAATATAGCTGCCACATTGCATACACATGGCCCACTTGTAGTAGCAAGACAAGGACTAGACCAGGGGCTTCCCAAAATGTGTGCCAGACCCCAGTGGGATCCTGAACTGAAACATTGGGTTTCAGCAGCAATGGCCGGACTGGGACACTGACCAAGTTGAAATAATTGTGCTCCTGCTATAACAGGTGTAACACTCTCCCTACCCCACTCCATCCTCTCTCAATTCCGCCTGAAGGACTGTGACAATTTTCAATGCTCGGAATGTGGTCACTGCGGGAGAAAGTTTGGGAAGCATCAGACGAGACAATCTTTTTGGTGAAGTTGTTTGAGGAACAAATGTCATCCAGGGCACCAGGGAGAATGCAGCAGATTCACAGAAGTGGTGTAAGGGACATGGGCACTGTTAAACTAGTGATACCCATCTCCACTGCTAGGGCAGGTTGTTCTGCAAAAGTGCCACCCATTGTATCCCCAACTATACAACAGCTTGCCTGGAATTTCTAGACCATGAATCTTTAACGCGCCATTGTTTATTGTGTATCCATTTTTGATATTGTTTCTTAAATGACAGCAGATGATACACAGCAAATACCAACCGGCAGTTACAAAACAGCCAATCTCAGTGGTAGGTTTATCAGCTGCACTGTGAGATTGGATTTCTGTCTGTAATTCCCTGATAGCTACCTAGCATTATCTCTGTTATTAAATGGACAATAGATTCTTATAAGAAAACAACTGGTGTTAATATAACCGAGTTGATGTGACCTTTGCTGTTCCAGATGTGGTTTTCAATGATACAGCTGCTTACTGGATGCAGGTGAAACGAAAACAACAAGAATACTGCTCTTCACAAGCAACAAATCTACTGAATCATTTTCCCTGAGGAATAACACACAAAATTAGCGTCTAAGTCATGTTGGCAGCTTAATTAGTGTGTTTCCTTAACTAACAAATAAAAGTCAAATCAGTGAGCAATTGAATATCAAATACTACATAGAGAAAAAGAAACCTCCCTTTCAAAATGAATCCTATCGAATGTAGTGTTAAATGAAAGGAAAACTGCCTTGAATCTTTCAAAGGCAAATGCAAGACTTTCAGTGGTTGCTTGTAGTGTTGGAATGGTTTCCCTCCTGTTTGAAATGTTCGGAGAGTTGCCTCCGCCTCTGCCTTCCCAATCCCTCCCCATGAGAGAGAGAGAGAGAGAGAGAGAAAAACTGTAAGCATGATTGCTCGGTGCACACAGGCGGAATATTTTCAATCTTATCAGTCTTATCAGGAAACAACATGATTTCATCTCGCCTTCTCAGCCAGCTCTGTGTGTACTTGATTGTCTGCCGATTTTGACTTTTTTCTTTCCTTATCTACTCCCAGTGATCAATAAAATAAGCAAACAAAGGAAGAGAGAAACAGCCAAGAGGGGATATACTCAGGTGAGGCTGTGGAATAACAGCTGTGTGAAGGCAGATTGGCCCAAAAGAACAGACTTAAACAACTGCACTTGCTGGAGAGAGAGAGAGAGAGTGCACTGGCTCTGAGGGATTGGAAAGAACGAAATGTTGGAACTGGTTGCTCTTGCCTGACCCCCGACCCTACCATTGGTGCCAGCCTGGTCTGTGACAGGTTGGAACTGCTAATGACAGCATTAAACGTCTGAGCTCAGCTGTAAGGGCTGTCCGTTTTCTTTTCCAACGCCTTTGATCTGAATACGGACTAGAATGGATTAACAAGACCACTGGGGAGAACAGTCAATTAAAAAAAACATTAAAACATATTTCAAAGATTTATTGAGATTACATGCCGGACTGCAATAAACCAACTGCTCACAGGTACAGAAATTTTCTTTGTCTTTTATTGTTTCACTGTGCCGTAAAAGCTGTTCCTGTGCTAAATGCTACAGATTGTTGCCATGGTGATTTGAGTATAGTTATCGGGTACCAAAGTTTATCCAAGTAAGACACAGCATCTATCAATAACGTTTACACCGCACGCACAATATTTATAGGACTTTGCCAACAGTTGAGGGAGAAAGGACGGAGAATCATTTGCTGTCATAATGCACAGTGCGTGCCTACTCGAATTTACATTGTAACCCGAACCAAGCAACTGTTACTCTTGTTTGGAGATTTAGCGCTGTTTAACTGGTCTGATTTCTGCAAACGCTGCTTGGTATGATGCACAAATTGGACGAATTGTTGCTTTCTGTCTTAAAGTATGCTTAAAATTTAGTCTGTAGTTTCCAACACAAAAAAAATCTATTTGTGATGCTAACGTGGCTCCAATGGAATGACCTTGCATTGTTTTTTTCTGTACAGACGGTTCTGTTAACTCCATTCTCTTCACAGGATCACAATACCATTTGAAACGCAATTAGAATAAAAGAACAGCAAAAATGCACAGCTATTTTGCGAAGAGCAGGGAAGATTGACGATTGCTTGTGTGTTAGTATATACAAGACTAGAGGCAGCAGATAATTTATGTTAAGTGTGACTACTAAGTAGACAAAAGGTGTCAAACTGCTTTACCAGTAAAGGTTGTGGTGGGGGAGGGGGTGGTGGTGGCTGAGTGGATTGGGAAGTTGACGTTTGATTCACTTCAGTTATTTTCGTGCCCATTTTTGGGGCACCAGTATGGTGCCAGATTTGAAGGTTGCCCGCAGTGATTTAGCATTTCATATCTTCGGTGTTTGACAGAGTGTGAATACACTGAATACAAAGTGACACATTTGGAGAATACTTTCTTGTGGTAAATCGTTCTCTATAATATCCTTTTAATAGAAAGCTTCATTCCCTCAAAAAAAATGTTTACCTGAGACTAATTTGGAATCTCCTGTCGGTCATATCTGGTGACCTGCAAACTACATTCCATGTCGTATCAAGACAGTCCTTATGGTGGACTGCTATTCATTGCATTTTGTAGGGAGGAGGATGTGAACAGTTGCTCTTGTGGAAACTGTCTAATTATTCCTTTAAATAACAGAAAATTCAAGCTAATTCTAAGGCTGGAGCTCTAGTATCCCAAGTAAACAACTGAAGACTTCAGATGATAGCCATACTTTCACATGTGTCCAAACATTGCCACTGAAAATATAGCTTAATGGAATAAGTGAGCAAGGAAGCAGTTTACAGGAGACTGGTTGAGTAGTAGGCAGAGATTTTACTATTCTAAGACTGTACCCCATTGTTGATCCAAGATGCCATTAAAACTTGAAAGTTACTTCTTTTTTAAGGAATGCAGTTTATACATTACTCCTCACCCAGAAAGTTCCTGATTCAATCAATAATTCTACAAAATATATGCCAACTTGTTATGTTCAAAGGCAAGTGTTATCACATAATGACAAACAATCCAAATGCTTTAAAGCTAAACATTTGTTGCAGCATTATTACATGAGCAATTGTGTTTTTCCAATGCTTGTAGTATTTTAGTTAATTAGACTCAAAAGTCAAAGTGAATAGAAATATCACATTTGCAAATATCTAGTTGTATTTAAGTTTTATCCAATACAGCTAACCTGTAGCCATTATAATAATACGCTGTAATTTTGAACTCAGGATATCACAAAATGTCTTCCTTAAATCCGTAAGCAGCAACCAAACAATGAGCTAATCAGTTTACACTGAATGAGCACAGATTAGATACTGATAGTTACAATTCAGCAATGTGTATATTGTAAAGTAAAGTTCAGAAACATTTCTGCTTTTTGTAATTCTCAGTACACACTAGATGAAAAGAAACAACTCACTACTGCCTAGTACCGAAAGGCTTAAATGTGTTTGAATTATAATTACTCTCTCATAACAAAGTTCACCTTTTTTTATTGCTTTCCATAATTTGTATTTTATTCATGACTGCTGTATCTGCTGTATACCAGTAGGTTATGAAATTGCTACAATTGACCAATCTCAGAAACTAAAACAAGGCTGATTGGCAACAAAAAGCAGTGGCTAACTTTTCTGTGACGGAAACATTGCCTTATAGAAGTGGTTCTTAAATGTTCACACCCACATGTCACTTGGATGGAACAAAAGACCCTATGTATCACTTCACCCTCTTTCTGTTGTTGCCACAAAATAACCCATTAGGATTAATGGGAAAATGCTGATGCTGTTGATGAGACATCAGTGAGGTGATGTCTGGTTCCGAGCTGAAGAGTTTCAGTCTCACGTTGGACTCGATCTTCAGCCAATTCCACTTTGTTGTTTTTTGACTCCTAAATGTTGATGATTCGATGGTGGCTATATGTTCATGGTATGCTAGGTCCCTCAGAGCAGGGTCATGGAGCATCAAATATTTGGAATACTTGGTGCGAAGACCATTAGACTTTTATCACTAAATACCAACTTCAGTCACTTCAATTTTGGACCAGACAGTGGGCACCTTTGCAGAACACCAGCAGTCTGCAGGCTACCTTTTGAAAACCACTGCCCTACAAAAATGTGCCTTGCCTGTACAAATGGGGGTGAGAAATCTCTGAATTAAAATTATATTGCCATGATATCAGGATCTTTCACTGTTAGCAGCTAAATTATTGGAAGCTATATTTTTCTACAACTGAAAGATCCAAGTAATGGTGAAAGAGCTAGGTCAGGAGTTTCCTTGGAGCTGCCTGTGCCATGAAAACAAAACATGGTGGAAATTCCATTTATGGGCATAAGCTGAGATTTTCCACACTTCCAGTGAAGTCATGCCAGCCGAGTGGAAATATTCCTGTCTGGTACTGCTGCATTGACATCGATCTGCCAATGTGGAAAATTGCCCAGATATGTCCTGTTCACAAATAGCAGGACAAATCCAACCCAACCCTATCAGTCTATTCTCAATCATGAGCAAATAGTTGGAAAGTGTCATCAATAGTACTAAGAAGTGGCACTTGATCATTGACAACCTGCTCACTGATGCTCAGTCTGGGTTCTGTCAAGGCCACTCAACTCCTGACTTTATTATATCTGTGGTACTAATATGAACAACAATTTGAATTCCAGAGGTGAAGTGAAAATGACTTCTCTTGACATCAAAGTGGCATTTGACCAAGTGTTACATTAAGGATCTCTAACAAAACTGAATTTTTTGGGAATCTGGTGGAAAACTCTCCACTGGATTAAGTCATAACAGTACAAAGGAAGATGGCTGTTGGAGGTCAGTTATCCCAGCCCCAGGACACCACTGCAAACGTTCTTCAGTGTGGTGCCCTGATCCCAACCATCTTCAGCTGCTTCATCAATGACCTTCCCTCCAGCGTATGGTCAGAGTGGAAATGTTCACTGATGATTGCACCATGTCCAGCACTAATCCTGACTCTTCATGTACTGAATCAGGCCATGTGCAATTGCAGCAAGACCAGGACAATACCTAGGCTTGGGCTAATATGTAACAAGCAACATTTGTGCTACACAAGTGCCAGGCAATGACCCAGAGAGAATCTAACTACCATGCCTTTCTGTTCAATAGCATTACAACTGCTATATTCCCTAATATCAACATCCTTGAGGTTATCATTGACCAGGAACTCAACTGAACCAGCCATATAAATATAAATACTCTTGCTACAAGAACAGTGAAAGGCTAGAAATTTTGAGTGACTGAGTGACCTTGACTCCCAGTGCCTGTCTGCCATTTTTAAGACATCAGTTGTGAGTGTGATGGAATACTCTCCATTTGCAGGGGGGGCTCAAAAAAGTTCAACACTATCCATGTCAAAGCTGTCAAAGTTGTTTGAGCTCTATCTACCATCTCCCACATTCATTCCCTCACCACCAATGCAGCGTGTCCCATTGACAAGATGCACTGTGATAGGCTCCTTAGACAACACTTTCCGAACTCATGATCAACAACCTAGAAGAACAGGTCTGCTAATGCATAGGTACACTACCATCTGCAAGTTCCCCTCCAAGCTACAGAGCATTTTGAATTGGAACTATCCTGTTGCTAGGTCACAATTCTGGAACTCCTTCCCTAACAGCAATGTGGGCGTACCTACACCCCAAGAACAGCATTCTTTCAAGAAAGTAGTTTAGCTTCTCTCAAAGGCAATTAGGGATGGGGACAATAAATGCTGGCTTAGTCAGCGATACTCAGTTCCCATGGATGAATTTTAAAATGTCCTGAGGAATCTCTGGGCTGCACTTGAGAAAGACGAGTGAAAAGTATTTTAATTCCAAAATGAAGTGATAGAGGAAAGGAAATAAGATTGATTGATTGCTGTCAGAACTTAGCACAAATTAAATAATAGTGGCATGAGTGACTAGAACAAGTTCAATAAGTTAGAACCAAGAAATGCAGACTCAGAAATTGTGAGCTTGAAGTAAGAGAAGGATTATCAATGTAGTATAATATGTTTTTCATCCATTTTGTTCAGGCCATGGGTATGAATTTGCTTGGTATCATGGTATTCCAATAATATGAAAATTCACTGTTATTTCATCAAGAGCCAAAAGCACGAATCTAGATTGGTTGATTTATTGTATTGGAATGCTAATTAGTTGGAAAAGGAGGATCATTGTGTTCACTCTCAAACACTTTACGATATTGTAATGGAATGGTTCCCTGGTTACTCTTAAATTGACAGCTTTGCAATGAGCTATTTATCACAATTCGGTTTCTTCAGTTCTGTAGTTTTGCAATAATGAAAACGCTGCTGCATGTTGATCAGTTGAAATAGAAAGTCACCGAGAAACACTGTCTTCCTTCAGAAAATATAATTTTCATTCAATGTTGATGAACTATTCCAGTTTAATTAAATGCTGGAATATATTGCTTACCCACTGCTTTAAGAATCGAGCCCTCGGTTGCCATAACCTAGACTCTATTGTTTTAAAGAATTGCCTTA